TAAGTGTAGCAAGGGGAAGGTGGTCCCTAGTGGGGAGGGGGGGTTGCCCCATAGGAGGGTATTGATCCCATAGAGGATGGCTCTGCCCCATAGAGGGGGTTAGGGTGTGGGTATGTGCCCCATAGAGGATGGTTCTGCCCCATAGAGGGGTTAGGGTGTGGGTATGTGCCCCATAGAGGATGGTTCTGTCCCATAGAGGGGGTTAGGGTGTGGGTATGTGCCCCATAGAGGATAGTTCTGCCCCATAGAGGGGTTAGGGTGTGGGTATGTGCCCCATAGAGGATGGCTCTGCCCCATAGAGGGGTTAGGGTGTGGGTATGTGCCCCATAGAGGATGGCTCTGCCCCATAGAGGGGTTAGGGTGTAGGTATGTGCCCCATAGAGGATAGCTCTGCCCCATAGCAGGAACTGGGGGGTGCCTGACTTCCCCTTTCCCCCCCCCAGGCTGGACCAGGATGGTGCTGACCTGCTGGGGCAGCTGCTGCAGGTGAGGTTGGGGAGGGGACGTGGCCACCCACAGCCCTGCCCCTTCCCCCCACAAACCCCACCCCTTTAACCACCCCCCCCCCCACATAGACCCAACCATTGCATGCACAGAGGGGGGGGAGAGTTTGGTGGGGCCACGCCCACAATGGGGCGTGTCCTCCTCTCGATGGGCGTGTCCTAATGTGGGCGGGGGCAGTTCGAGGGGCGGCGGCGGCTGCCGGCAGCTGAGGCCATGGCGCATCCGTTCTTCGCCTGCCTGGGGCCCCGCGTCACCACCCTGCCCGACAGTGAGTGGTTGGGTCCGGGGGGGGGGGGGGCGGAGCCTAAAGGGGGCGGAGCCTAAAGGGGGCGGGGCTTAAAGGAGGCGGGGCTTAGACTGGGAAGGATTCAATGGGGGTTGTGGGCAGGGCTTCAAGGGGGTGTGGGTGTGATTGGGGGATGTCCAATGGGTTAAAGTGGGAGGGGTTTAAGTGGGGTTGAGGGCGGGGCTTTGGGGGGGTGTGGTGTCAGGGTACGGGAAAGTGGGCGGGGTCTAAGGGCTTAAAGGGGGCGGGGCATAGAGTGGGAAGCGTTCAATGGGAGTTGTTGGAATGGCTTCAGGAAGGGGGCGTGGCTTCCAGGACAGATCTGAGAGGGGGTGTGGCTTTGTGCAATGCCCAATGGCTCAAAGTGGGAGGGGTTTAAGTAGGGTTGAGGGCGGGGCTTCAGGGGTTATGGCATTGGCGTAAAGTGGGCGGGGTCTAAGGGCTTACAGGGGGCGTGGCTTAAAGGAGGAGGGGCTTAGAGTGGGAAGGGTTCAATGGGGTTGTGGGAGTGGCTTCGGGGGGGCGTGGTTTCGAAATGGGGCCTTGAGGGGGCGTGGCTTTGGGCGATGGGTTAAAGTAGGAGGGGTTTTAAGTGGGGTTGTGGGCGGGGCTTAAAGGGGGCGTGGCTTTGGGCTGTGTCCAATGGCTTTGAAGTGGGAGGGGTTTAAGTGGGGTTGTGGGTGGTGTTTCAGGGGGCGGGGCTTGGTGGGGGTGTGGCCTGTGTGGGTGGAATCTTGGAGCAGGGGGTGGATCCCATTGGTTGGGGCTGGGGAGCATTGGGCCAGGCTTAAGTGTGGGTGGGAGGGGAGGTCCTTTATGGGCGTGGCTTGTGTTTGGCCACACCCCTTATGCAAATCCCCCCCCCCCCCATATGCAGCCACCTCCATCTTCGCGCTGAAGGAGATCCAGCTGCAGAAGGAGCCAGGGCTGCGCTCGGCCACGCTGCCCCCCCCAGGTCAGCACCCCCAAAATGGGGACCCCCCCCTTCCCCCCCAAACCCAGACTCCCCCTTCAGCATCCAGGACCCTTCCAAAACTGGATCCCCCCCAAAACTATGCCCCACCCCCCCCATCCCCCCCCCACATTTCTGGGGGGATCCTTCCTATTTTTGGGGTTTCCCCTAAGCCCCCCCCCTTTTTTGATCCCCCACAGGTTCCTCTGCCTTCCGGGTGCTTGACACTGAGTTCTGACACTGAGCAGGTAAGGGACCCCCAACATCTCGGTGCCCCCCCCCCCTCCATGGACCCCCCCAATAGATTAAACCTGGGGTGCAAACCCCCCAAAAAGGAAGAAGATTCCCCAAAAGATGGGGAAACAGCCCCAAAAATGAGCCTTTCCCCCCCACAAAGTGGGGGGAGCCCTAAAATAGGGGGGAGGGGATGACTCTCCAAGGGGGGAGGTGTGGAATTAAGTTTTAGGGGGCCCCCCCCCTTAACCCTTTCCTCTCCCCACAGCCCTTGGATCGCTGCTGCAACGCCATGGGACCCCCCCCAACACTGGGGGGGCAGGGGGGATGTTGACCCCCAAAGCTGGGGCATATCTGCTCCAAACTGAGGGGGGGGCACCCCCAAAATGGATTTGGGGGGGGCACCCTAGAACTAAAGGGGGATCCCCCCAAAGTGTTACTACACCCCCCCCCCGAAGAGCTGCTGCTGGATTTGGGGGGGATCCCATGGGGAATCCTTTGTTATGGGGAGTGCCCCCCCCCTATTTTTTGGGGGGGGTCCCTCGATTTTGGGGCCCCCCCTCCCCCATTTCCTTCGAGTTTTATTTTTTCAAGGCAATATTATAAAGAAGATTCTATATTGGCCCCTCCCCCCCCAGGGTGGGGGCTTAGTGGGGGGTGGGGCTACAATGGGGGCAGTTTTGGGGGGGGGGTCCCCTTCTGAGCTTCCTCTGAGGTTACTCACACTTTACTCCAGGGTTACTTCGGGGGGGGGGCTTGGTCCGTGGGGCTATGGGGGGGGTGGGGGGCTTGGTCCATGGTTACTCCCATGTTACTACAGGGTTACTCAGGCCCTACTCCCCCTTTACACCAAGGCAGCTGTGGGGCCGCTCCTGCCCTGTTCCAGCCTTACTCAGCCTTTACTCCCTTGCTGTCGGCTTCTACTCCTTGGTTACTCAGTCACTACTCAGCATGGGGCTGCCCCTTGCCCATTGGTGCTCAGGGGGCTTACTCTGAGCTTACTCCCACCTTACCTTAGGGTTATGCAGTGATTGGTTGCTCTTCAGTTACCCAATTTTGGGGAGGGGGGGGGGCTTGCTCTGAGTTTACTCAGCCCTTACGTTGAGCTTATTTGCTCCTAGTCAGGGTTACCCATGGGGGGGGCCTTACTCTGGGTTTACTCAGCTCTGCCTTTGGGGTGATTTGGTGCTTTATTGATGCCCCCTTTCCCTTCTCCCCCCCCACCCCCTTCGCTTTACTTGGCCTTTACTCTGCTTTTACTCAGCCTTGCTGCTCCCATCCCTTGCCCAGCTCCTTGGCAAAGCCTTTACTCAGCCTTTACTCAGAGCTTTTCCCTATTTATGGCTTTAATCCCAGGTTCTCTCATCCCCACCGCCCTACTCCAGCGCTACACAAACCCCATCTTACTCAGTGAGGAGGTCCTCTCGACACTGACGTGCTCCATACTCATAGGTGGGACTCAGGAGGGTCTCAGGCCTTACTCAGAGGTTCCTAAGGCCTTAGGGGGCCAGCCCTAGAGGGCTTTTAGGGTCACACAATGGCACCTTGTTTGCTCCTACGCAGCGATACAAAGCCCCCCTCCTTGCACGACTTACTCACACTTTACACCATTGCCTTGCGCCAGGTCTTTGGCCAAGCCCTTTCTCCAAGGATACTCCATGGATACACGCACTTTGCTTTGCTTCTTTACTCCGAGCAAGGTACTTCCCCCCCCACCCCCCCCAGGGTGTATTCAAGCCCATTGGGGGTTCACAGTTGTTACTCCAAGGTTACTCAGCCCTTACGTTGGTTGCTTGGAGTTACTCCATGTTCTTGATGCTGAAGTTACTCAGCCACTACTCCAGGTCATAGCTCCCCTTGGGGTTATCCAATACGCTGATGGGTGGAATACTCCTTACTCACAGGTTACTACATACTCTATGGCCACACAAGCGTTACTCCAAGCTAGGGTTACTATTGGGTTACTCCAGGGTTACTCACCCATCACCCCAATGCAGGGCGCTGATCTGGGGTTACAATGGGTGCCAATGGCTCCCTTCAGGGTTACTCATAGGTTGGTTGAGGGTTGTTACTCCTGGGTTACTCACAGGTCGTTGGAGGGTTGTTACTGCACGGTTACTCATTGGTTGTTGCTCCAGGGTTACTCATAGGTTATTGGAGGGTTGTTACTCTGGGTTTACTCACCCATCACCCCAAAGCTGGGTGCTGCTTTAGGGTTACAATGGGTGCCAATGGCACCTTTCACAGCTAATCATAGGTGGTTAGAGGGTTGTTACTCCGGGTTTACTCACTGGTCACCCCAATGCAGGGCGCTACGTTAGGGTTACAATGGGTGCCAATGGCTCCCTTCACAGCTACTCATAGGTGGTTAGAGGGTTGTTACTCCGGGTTTACTCACTGGTCACCCCAATGGAGGGCGCTGCTTTAGGGTTACAATGGGTGCCAATGGCACCCTTCACAGCTACTCATAGGTGGTTAGAGGGTTGTTACTCCAGGTTTACTCACTGGTCACCCCAATGCAGGGCGCTGCTTTAGTGTTACAATGGGTGCCAATGGCACCCTTCACAGCTACTCATAGGTGGTTAGAGGGTTGTTACTCCAGGTTTACTCACTGGTCACCCCAATGCAGGGCGCTACGTTAGGGTTACAATGGGTGCCAATGGCACCCTTCACACCTACTCATAGGTTGTTGGAGGGTTGTTACTCCAGGGTTACTCACTGGTCACCCCAATGCAGGGCGCTACTTTAGGGTTACAATGGGTTCCAATGGCACCCTTCAAGATACAGCTTCTTGGAGGGTTGTTACTCCAGGTTTACTCACTGGTCACCCCAATGCAGGGCGCTGCTTTAGGGTTACAATGGGTGCCAATGGCACCCTTCACAGCTACTCATAGGTGGTTAGAGGGTTGTTACTCCAGGTTTACTCACTGGTCACCCCAATGCAAGGCGCTACGTTAGGGTTACAATGGGTGCCAACGGCACCCTTCACAGCTACTCATAGGTGGTTAGAGGGTTGTTACTCCGGGGTTACTCACACGTTGTTACTCCCATTCCACGCAAGGGTGACTCCCCTTGAGCTTCGAGACACCCCAAGGCCCCATTCCAGCCTTAAGCATGGGGTTGCTCTGGCTTTACTCACACTTTACTCCGAGGTTACTCACACCTCGCTCCTCCCGGCACATCCAGCACCGCTCAGGATTGCCCCTATCCCCCCCCCCCCATCCCTGTGGGTCCCTATACGTGCCCTGTGTGTAAATATGTACATAAGGGAGTGGGGTTTTTTACATGCAGCATGAGCCCCTATAGCACCCATGGGGGGGGTGGGGCAGAGCCTATAAACTGCCCCAGGGTGGGGGGGAGGGTGACAGAGATGCTTTGCCCCCCCCCCCATATGGGGATATAGGGGTTGTTTGGGGGGGGGCTATAGGGAGAGAGGGGGACGGAGCCATGACCCTGTGCCCCAAGGGGGGGGGTGATGGGGTGGGATCATATGGATCCTATAGGCTGTTCCTACCCCCCACCCCCCCCGGATTAGTGACGTCACATGGCGGGCGGGGTGACGTCACGCGGTGGGCGGGGCTTCGCGCCTCGGCTGTACGGTACCGACCATTAAAGCCTCCCTGGGACACGCCCGTGACCCCTGTGTGACCCCGCGTGGCTACCCCCCCCCCCCCATGCACAGCAATGGTCTCACCCATGCGCAGGGGGAGGGTCCCGCAAGCTCGGCCAATGGCGTTGCAGGGCGGTGGTGACGTGGAGGGAAGGGTGGGGCTGGGAGAGGGTTCAGGCTCAGCCATTGGTTCCCTATCGCGGCACCCCCCACCCCGACCCTGTCGCGACAGCGCGGGGGGAGGAGGGGGCAACCCATGTGGGACTGGGGGGGGGGGACGGGACTTTCAGTGACGTCACTTGGGGGATCCCTCTCTGTGGTTGTGACATCACGGGGGGGACACATGTTTTGGCATGGGGTAATCCCTGTAGCGGTTGTGACGTCAGCACCCACGTGGGGTGGGGGGGTCCCAGTGGAGTTATGACGTCACTGGGTGGGGGAGTCCCCACTGCGGCTGTGATGTGGCAATGACGTCATAGGGAATCCTCCAGTGGGGGGGGGGGGTTGGTGTCTGTGTTTCTATTGGCGTCGTGATGTCACGGGTTCCCACTAGGGCAGTGACGTCATAGAAGCCCCCTTGTGGGGGTGGGAATTCCGGCAACAATAGTTGTGACGTCATATGGGGTTCCCCACCAGGGTTGTGACGTCATTTGGGACCCATGTGTGGTTATGAGGGTATCCGAATCCATGGCTCCAACCCGCTCCCCATTGATCCCCTTGTTACCCTCAAAACTACAACTCCCATTATGCCCCACGCCACGTTACGCTGCTTTACGCCTCGCACGTCAGACGTCACTTCCGCTTCCGGCAGTGTTGCCATGGCGGCGGCGGAAGCGGTGCGGTTGCGGCCTGGCTCCGGTGCCGCGGCCCCGTTGCAGGCCCAGCTCCTGCCCTGCGGTATCCGGTACAACGGCCCCGCGCCTGTGGCCGCCTTCCTGCGGGTGCAGACCGGGCCCGGAGGCGGTGAGCGAGCTCCTATGGGGCCGGGGAGCGCTGTGGGGCCGGGGGATGTGTGGGGCAGAGTGGGTGAGGGGGAAGCCTCTCTACGTGCTGCCGGGGCTGTGCTGTGGGGCCCAACAGTGCTATGGGGCAAAGTGTGGGGCTGCTGACCCCCTGCCCCACATTTCCTCCCCCCTCCCACCCCTGCCCCATAGAGCTGTGGGCCTCGTTCCGGGGCCGGCGCATGGGGGGCCGGGACCTGCCTCTGCCCCATGGCTACCGGGGGATGGTGCTGAAGGAAGGGGACCCGCCCCATGGCGATGAGGTGAGGCTGCCCCACACTTGGGGGACATGTGACACCCCCAACCCCGCTCTATGGGGTGAGCTGTGGGGCTGCCCCACACTGAGTCTGCCCTCCCCCACAGGGCCGGTGCGTGGCGGTGATGGGGACGTTCGATGCCATCAGGGACTGGGGGGCCGATGGCGTCCCCCCCGCTGGGGGTCTGGCCCTGGCGCTGCAGTGGGGGGACATCGCTCAGGCGGTGAGGCTGGGCCGGGACCCACACTTAGGGGGCAGCAGGGAGGGACCCGCATGGGGGGGGGGCCAGGTGTCTTTGGGGGTTCCCAGTGCTGGGCCCCACACTTGGGGGGCAGGAGGGGGGTCCTAGGACCCAGACTTTGGGGTCTCCAGTAGTTGGGGGGCAGGATGGGAACCCTTCAGCCCCACATTTGTGGGGAGTCCCTGACACTTGCAGGTCTCCAGTCCCAGTGACCACACTTGGGGGGCAGGATGGGAGGTCCTAGGAC